TACTATTGTATTTTCAAACAAACATAATTGAATGTGGGTGTTCTTCATAAATGTCATTCTTCAACCAAAACTCTTCTTCTTTTCTTTCATATTTTTGTTCAATTTTTCACTCTTTTTAGCATTTTGCTAAGCTTTTAAAAATTAAGATCTATTTAATATTGAAAAAAATTGTCAGAAAAATATATAATATATTCAATTGGTACTAGGACTACCACTATTTACTATTAAATATTTAAAATGTAGTTTGCTACTTTTAATTTTTTTTATAATAACATAATTGGAATTTAAATCTAGAACCCTATTCAAAATATTCAAAATTCTCCACAAATAAATTTATTATTACTTTTTATAAATTATATAACTATATTATCCTTGAATTGTATTATTATTATAATAGGAATATAAAATTAAAAGACAACACATTATTATTTATATAAAACATTTTAAATATTGAGAATTAAATATATTTTATTTCTACTTATATTTATTTATTTATCACAATCATTTCATTGTTATTTATATAAAACATTTTATTTCCTGGGTGACTTCAATGTTGTTCTTGGAACAAATGAAAAAGGGGTGGTAATATCCTTAATTCAATGTTTTATGTTGGCTAACTTTCAATTTTAAATTGTCACTCAAGTCATTGCAAATAGGCTTGTGGTTTTGGTTCCAAAAATTCTATCCTACCAACAGTTGGAGTTTGTAAAACGTCGGCACATTGCTGATAATATTTGCCTTATTTCTGAAGCTATTAATATGTTGAATCACAAGGTCTTTAGAGGAAATTTGGCAATTAAATTGGACATTAAAAAATGCATATGATACACTTAGATTGGAATTTTTTTACTTTTGACATTGAAGGATTTTGGTTTTAATGATATATTTTGCATATGGATTTAAGCCATATTATGTTCTGCACAACTTTCTTTTGGTGTTAACAGCTATTTAGTGGGTTACATTGCTTGCAAAAGTGGGATGTATCAAGCAGAACCTCTCTCTCCTGTATTATTTTGCATTGTTGAGGATATATATACTTAGTCGTGGGAGTTCAACCAAAGATTGTTGTTGCCTATGGCTGGACCACGTGGATTCCAAAGACCATCTCGTGCTTTTATGTGGATGATATAATAGAGTTTTGTTGGGGAGTTCTTCTAACATAAAACATTCCAAGTCTCTTCTCTTGTTGTATGGTGAAGCTTTGGGTCAACTCACAAGCCCCGAAAAATGCATATTTTATTATGGGTCTATGTTATATCATCTTGGGTAGCTAGGATTTGTGAACTTCTGGGTTTTGTGGCTGGCAGAGCCCCGTTCATCTATCTTGGAGTTTCTATATTTAAAGGTAAGCCTCGTGTTAGATATTGCATGATATTGTTGCTAGGATTAAGGCTAAACTAGCTTCTTAGAAGGATGCACTTTTATCAATGATGGGTCATGTTTATTAGCTAGTTAACGTTGTCATTTCAAGAATGCTATTGTACGAATTTCATATTTATTCATGGCCTAAGATATGGCGGTGAAACAAGTAGAAAGGCTAGTTAGAAACTTCATTTGGTTTGGGGATTTGAATTCTTCTAAGATTGTTACGGTTGAAATGGAAAAAAGTTTGTAGGCCTTATTGTAAATGTGGTTTGGGTGTAACTTCCATTGCAAAGCTTAATGTAGCCATAATTAATCTCATAAGATTCAGTGCCAATCTATTTAATTGATCCCAAGCCTCATAGAGAGACTTGTCAACATCAGTACTGGTCTCTGTATTGATTGAAGGGTTTTCATCCATTACTAATGTTAAGTCTAACTCCACTACACCCAGTTAAAACTGGATCATTTCAAACCAATTGGCGTAATTCATTCCATTGAACTTGATCATTAAGTTACCCAAAACGAGTATATTAGACATAACTTCATACATTTAAACAAACTCACACATTAATG